GATAATATATACACAGGCCGAAAATATTTGGAGTCACTAACTGGAAAGATGCCGTAAAGATGAATGAAGGCGGGTGATATCTGCAGCAATGAACCTCAAGAACTCGGAATGCTAAAGAAAAAGATTACGGCATGTGCAAAAGTCTTGGATCCCAGGTCGACCCAGCCTTGAGTGGGTACCGTGTGCAGTCCTGGGAAGCAGAGACGGTCGGCGTGATGCTGACCACATCACCCATCTTGTGCCGATTGGTCTGTAAAATATAGGTCTAGCCATATAGGCATAAAGGCGTGTAAAAGGGTCCTTTACTTATGTGCAAAAGTAGCTGGATAAAGTAATACTGGGTTGAAAAGGCAGTGAGCATTATTATTAAGGGGTCACTACACGGCATTTTTTCCAATTTATGACAAAAATATCACTTTTTCAATGTGTACGTTTTTGTAAAGTTCGGCATTCGTAGAATAGATGACACACAAAATGTATGTCATTTGTAAACAATTTAGCTTTGAAACGTTAATACTAACGACACCACCTCGTGCACTTTTTCAAGATAAAAAAAAAAGTTTAAAAGTCAGTTTTCTCAAATCTCTACATTTCAGTTTTCTGTGTGTGTGAAATCCTAAAATATAAGCTAATAATATAAAGAGTAGAAACATGAAATTGTGTATGCATACTTCGTAAAGAATATTATAGGGACTGGTTTATCTAAAAGTAGACTTTAGAAAGTTTTTTGTTTTTTAAAATGTTATTATTAAATTGTCTTATGATGCGCGATTTTTTTGACTTTTTCAATAAACCTACACTTTAAAATTCTACGACAAATATTTAAAAACATGTTTAAAGTAAATAAACAAGACCTGTACCTCTAAATAGGATTTAAAAAAATCATGAATCCATCATCTATTGTTGAATACCTATGTTTGTTTTTTAAATTTTAGGATTCTAAGCACATATTGTTTTTTTCACAAGATGGCGGCTTTTGCCATGAAAAAAAAAATTTTTTTGTGTAGTGACCCCTTTAAGCATCAATATCTTTTGGGGTTAAAATAAGGCAGATCTGGAAACGCTAACTGCTTATGGACATGAGTTTAAGGATATTAAAAAGTAAATGTCTAAACCCGTGGAGGGGACATCTTCTGCGTTCATCTGAGGGCGTAGCTGGCTTTTACCCATATACAGCATGGCTGCAATAACTGCACCCTTGGGCCACATTTGACTTTTTCAGGCATTTGTCGCCCGTGTTAGCCATCCCGGATGAAGAGATATTACCAGCCAAAGTCTAGGGCTAATGTGAATGGTTAGGTTTAGGTAAGGTTTAAACAACGGAACGGTTAAACATCATGGCACAAGGGTAGTAACCTGTAAGTGCTCAGTTCTACTTCTAACTCAAGTCCGAAGAATCACAGCGCAGTGTACGAACTCTGTAGCACCGGCAAGGATCCTGAAATATTTTAGGTAGATTTTTAACTCCAAATTTTGCTCGGACAGCGCCATTAGGCTATTTTTTTTTCGATTTCTAACTGCCAAAGGATTTTTTAACGTGTGCAACAATACACACGGGCGTCCGATCTAACTACCCAGGGATAAGGGTAAATTACTAGGAGTCCACGCGTAAATGTCCTGCCTGAACCCAGTACTTCCAGCACTCGGGGCGGACACCACGCATCGAGACCATTTAGATGGCTCTGCGGAGTGCGCTCAATTTTTAGCCTCTAAGCTGCGACCTGAAGGTCTGACACCCTGAGATTGTAAAATCCCAGTCTAAATGACAGACCAAATCCCAAATACAGCTTTCAGCCTCAGATGAATTTAAAACTGTGGCACCCTTAACGGCTACACTACTAGGTGTAATCTGCAGTCCAATGCATGTTAGGAACTGGACTGTGCTGAATCTGCTTTCCTTATATGCCACTCTGTAGTACCAGTATCGCGTCTCTTTGAGAGAAACAGAGTTCTGCAACACAGCCCCTTCAGATAAGGTACTCTGAAATTCGGGGGGAAAGCTCCATGCAAATCTGACATTCTTCTTCTTCTATTTTGTGTTCACTGGCTGTGAACTCCGGCAGAAAGTTATGGTTGTTTGTCCACTTCTGGACTCTAATCATGTTCCAGAAATTGAGTGCTGCGTGCACATCACAGGTCTGACTCATTTGCAGTGAGACTGTTGGTTCCATGCCTATCAGGCAGATGTACTTCGAAATTGATGGAAGTTCCCAATCATCTCACTCTTACGACATGCTTTTAGGCATGCAGTGGGTCTATCCTTGTTTTCCCCACAATGGGACCGCAGAACCCACATAGAGAACCGGACATTGACTGATGTTAGTTTTTACAGTGCCTAAAGCACCCCTTTTCCACTTGGTGGGAAGTCTGAATATATTACTCGGAGCAGCATAATGCGAAAACCACGCAGGAGTGAGTGTTTGCCTGAAGGGCAATGAAAATGATCCTGTAATGAACATTAAATCAAAATGAGATCTCAATCTTTCTGACATATAAGCAACAATTCAAAGAAGATGCAAAGATTGAACAGCCTTAAAAGTCTATGGTTAAGCACCAGCGAGGAGATCAAAATTAGAATTTTGAGAGCATGCATCTTCCCTGTGGCTAAATACGGATGTGAGTCATGGACCATCTCTCAGTCCTTAAGAAAGAGAATAGGGGCTTTTGAGCAGAAATGCTATAGAGAGATTCTCAGGATATATTGGACAAAGAAGAGGAGAAATACTGACATCTTGAAAGATCTGAACATCAAGGAAGATTGGCTAATAAAAAGCATCCTGCCTCGGAAGCTGAAATATTTTGGTCATATCCAGCGCTACGTCGGATTGGAAAAAATTATAGCAGAAGGCATGGTACCAGGAAGGAGGGGCAGGGGCCGACCGACACAAAGATTGGCACAGGATATAAGTGACTCCTTGAGTATGAAAGTACATGAGGCGAGAGAACTGGCGAGAGACCGAGTTTCTTTCAGGCAGACTGTGATGAGAGCAACGTTTTGCAAAGGACCTGCTACATGATGATGATGTGAAGTGTTAGAATGAAAAACAAATTTTTAGTAATAAGGTGTCTTCACATATATTAAGTCAGTTATACCTGCATATGCTTCTGGTATTCACACATTTGCATCCTCATCAGTGCTAGGGAGTGCACAAAATGTACTGGGATTTTTGTCCAATCTTGGATAGGTGACTCAATTTCTTACAGAGTTAAATGAATGTGAGAGGAGACTACAGTCATGAAGTTAACCAAAGAGGTTGATTGGTACACTAGGGTGATTGGTACACTATTGTGGTCTACAGCCAGGTTGTAAACTTTGTGCCTTTGGATCCAATGCTTCAGATTTCAGTAAACCCTAATTAGTTGACTTTTATGACCTGCCTATTAAAGGGTAGCTAGTCTAGGTACCAGTAATGTTTTCCGCCCCAAACAAACACTGGTTGGCCGTGTCGTGTGTTCTATATTACACGATGTGACCGCTTTTAACGACCCCAGATCTAGAACTGACCCTAATCCCAACCCCTTACCCCACAGCCTCAGCTTCATGAAAGCAGCTAGCACACTGGCATCTCCAATGGTCGTCATGATCGGTCAGCGACAGCACCATTAGATGATTCTTCAAACAGCATCAGCCTGCCGGCAGAAATGCAACGCTGCTCTCCATGTCACTCATCAATGCTGACAAGTGAAGTAAATTCATGTCATACCTCCAGTCCAAGAAGGCAATAATACATGCACGCCTGACAGCCGCTCACAATAACGTTACTAGTTCCCTGGTCTTTACCCTCCCTAAACTGAAGCTCTGAAGCATACATGGTGAAAAACGACTTGACCATTATATAGTTTTTTTTTAATGTGTACTGAAAGTGACACGTGGAAAACCAAGTTAAGCACAATTTATTTTTCTTGTTATTTATTCAATTTATGTGCAAGTATTTGTGATTTATTGGTTTACTAGACTGCGTTCAAAATAAGAGCTTAAAGAAGCAAAAGGCTGCCTCTTCCTTTGAAGAACTGCTATTTAATCTGTGGTCTCGCTGGCCAAATTTTTAAGAATTCTGGGCTCTCGTGTGAAATAGCTGGGTTTGAATACTCGATAAGGTTGAAGATTTTTTTCTGTTGGGGGAAAAAATAAAATCCTAACCCACACAGTCCATGGCGACAACACTAGCCATGTGGCCTTAAATCCTCAGACTCAGAGGTCCCCCCCTCTCCCAGTTTACACCTCAAAAGTGGTAAATACAGGCAGTAATGGCAGACAGGCAGACATTTTTTGGTCTTCTTAACATATTTACACCATAGCTCCATTTTTGTTCTTATTTAGGGTAACATGAATTTTTGTGCAACTGGAAAGTTTCCTATTAAGTACCACTCCTGTGTGGGTTATTTTAGGGGAAATATAAGATTATTTCCATTGCCCCTTAGTAAGCAAGTTTAAAAGATGACTAATTAAAGACTTGCTAAAATTGGATGTGTTGGGCTAACAGGTGCTGATATCACAGCCTAGCTGTGATAACTACTATATATGTCAACCACCCTTTTAAGGGCGAATAAAGAAGATAAAGGTTAAAGTCAAAAAGATCGATTTCACTGCACCGGGTTTTATCCCATACGGCTGGGTCTCTCTCGGCAGAACGGCTAGCTCCCACAGAGCACGAACTTCGTAGCTTCGGCGACGATCCCTAGAGATCTACATAAAAATTGCACACATGAACTGAACGGCACAGCCATGAGACAACCCATGAACTTTAGAGCACAAAACAAACGGCTTGACCACGTTGCCACGGAGACCCCCGAACAAAGAGGAAGAACAAGTAATAACGTATGAACCAAACAACTTTAGAGTGTATCAAAATAAGTTCCAGACAGGTCTGCTGACATTCTCCAACAATATTCTTTCCCCAATTCCTTAAAAAGGCAAATTTTACATCAAGATCCAGCTGGAAGTGATGGTTCAATTAATGCAGTTTTACTGAGCAAATGATGAAGAAAAGAATGAGTCATTACAGGCAAGAACAGTCCGACTGTTGAGTATCTGGCACAGTAAAGCCTTCTCCAGCAAATGGTACTGCGACCAATGAAGGACACTGTCCACACATGGGGCACATGTGATTTCGCACTGATGAACTTCTCATCCAAATGACCATGTTGTAGCGTTGGCCTGAAGTGATTGGTAACGCTGAATGTAGCTGGCGAGCACAATGCAGAATTCCATGGCCTACCTGCAAAATATATTATTATAATTTTTAGTCTCAGAAGTTGATAGCAACTGCACAATGGTGAAAAAACAACTAAATCACAAGTGCAGTACGTTTGCAAAGGCTAATTGTGCACCCCTTGCAAAAATTAGTTAATTATTAGATCTCGTTAGCTTGTTCTGAGTTTACTCTTTCTGTCCCAGTCAACGCATCATGTGTGATCAGCTTCAAACCATAAGCACTATGAACATACAATGTGTTTTCATGCTTGTCTCAATGCACAACAGAAACCTAGCGAATTATTTTAATATGCAATACTCTGTATGTTTGATATAATATTATACATGGAAGTGATATGGTTATGCTCCCCCCCCCCCCCCCCCCCCCCCAACTATGGTAATTATTCAACTTCTTCATCTGCCCTTAAATCATTTTGGATTGAGGGAGTTAAGGGAGGAAGTAAAGTTGCACATGAAATCTAAAATGATACACATGGGGGAATTAGCCAGCAAAACAATGTGCAATTCTTGGGACTGGAAAAGTTAAGACAGAAAATATATATGAAAACTTGACTGATACACATGGGGAATAGCCAGCCAAACAAGGTGCATTTCATGTGATTGGAAAAGTTAGGACAGAAAATATATATGAAACCTTGACTGATACACATGGGGAATAGCCAGCCAAACAAGGTGCATTTCCTGGGATTGGAATAGTTAGGACAGAAAATTTTTTATGAAACTTTGACTGATACACATGGGAAATAGCCAGCCAAACAAGGTGCAATTCTTGGGACTGGAAAAGTTAAGACAGAAAATATATATGAAACCTTGACTGATACACATGGGGAATAGCCAGCCAAACAAGGTGCATTTCCTGGGATTGGAAAAGTTAGGACAGAAAATATATATGAAACCTTGACTGATACACATGGGGAATAGCCAGCCAAACAAGGTGCATTTCCTGGGATTGGAAAAGTTAGGACAGAAAATATATATGAAACCTTGACTGATACATGTGGGAAAAAAAGATCTAAAGGTCCTGTTCCATATTAATGGCACATTGAAAATTGGCTGCTGGACTATATTTTTATAGATCCGTTGGTACTCAATGGGTGATGTGGTCAACAAAAAGGCCAAATATCTGTATATCCCAGGACATTACCTGGTACCAAAACGAGACGCACACCAGCTACGCTAGAAGACTTGTTAATCAACATAGAACTGGTACTATTAGCCATCGGACGTTGGGGTTCATACTGAGGGGAGGATCTGAGCACCTATGGACATGTCCGGAGTGCAATGATGATAACCCAACTAACTAACTAACTAATTACCTGGTACCAGTTGCAGGCTGGGACGATCTGGGATTTAAGGTGAGTTTAAAAATAAAAAATAAACTGTTTGGTTGCGATTTGAACTGAAGACCTTCCTTTCGGGTGAAAAAAGAGCATCTAGCCACTAAAATACTACAACTCTCCATAGAAAGCCCTACAGAGTATTCTCTTGTAATGGGAAGAGTTATAGTAGAGTGTACAATCATAAATGAAACATTGGTACATATGGAGAATACATAGCCACAAATAAAGTGTTCCTGTTTCAGGGCCCCATTGTGGGAGAAAACAAAAATATACTCACAGCCTACCACAAAGTAGGTCGTAAAAGAAAAGTAATTGGGAGCTTCTTTCAAAGTCAGAGTGCATCTACTTGAGAGGCAAGGAACCAACAGACTTTATCAACATGAGTCAGATTTGTAAAACAAATGTGGACGCAACATGCTGTTTCTGGAATAAGATTACAGTCTAGACATTGACGAACAACCAGAACTTTCTGTCGGAGTTTCCAGCCAGTGCACCCAAAGAAGAAGAAGACATAGTGTATTTCCTAGGATGGCAAGAGTTGTCATACAAGTCCAGTTTGTCTATATATCTGCATTTATAGGAGAATGAAGTATAAAAATGATATATACAAGAAATGTCTTTGTGGTTAATGCTCAAACCATTGACCTCATGGTCTGTAGGTCATTGTTTCATTTTTGGACTATTCAGTTTACAAGTGTAATTTTCTGAGATCAATGGGGATCATCACTGGAGCTATAGAAACCATGCTTTGTGTGACCAACCTCATGTGAATACCTTATGACCTTATTAGTGACAGCCACTATCCATTAAAAACAAATTAATCAATACTTTCATGGCTTAAAAAACACCTTAACAAAATTAGTACATTTTCTGAGCTAATAAATCTGTTAAATGAAGCTGTTGCCAGATTACACAAACAAAAATGTTTTGTGTGTGCACGATATACAGAGACCACATCAAATATGATGTGGTTCACCCAAAAATTACACAGCACACTGGCAACTATGAACCTATTTTAACTACAGTGAACAGGTGGAAAATGAAGTGGTATGGACATGTAATAAAGATCTAATGACCTCTCAAAAACAATTTAATGAGGCTCAATAGAGGGAAAGAGGAAGAGCAAGAAAAATCTGGATAAAGAACTGACTGGGCAGACTTTAGCCATGCAACCATGAAGTCCATCGCATCTGACCATCAATGCTTGAGGCAGCTGATCAGTCAGTCAAGTAGTGACCCAACAATATGCAGTGTTACAGGATGATATAAGATTTGACAAACAGATCTTTGAAATAAATAATCTGACATTGATTTGATTAACACAAATTTCATACAGAAACTGAGAAAGAATTTTCACGTTTCTACTAACCTCATGCCCAATTAAAGTTTTCTGCTTTGTGTTATCTTCCTCGCCCCAAATCCCATTAAACTGTAATTGTCCGCCTGTATAATCAGAGTTCAGGCTAACGTTGAGGGTGACTTCTGCGTTATCATAGTGCAGAGATAACTCTCTGTCACCAGTCTCATCATAGCGGACAATGAAAGCCTTGTAGGAGTCAAAAGACAGGCCAACCCATTTGTCAAAAAGTTGCTTCGCTAAAGGCTGCAGCCAGTCTGTAATCAGTGGTGTGATCAGCTGATCTGACATACCCATTTCATCAAGTGACACCTGGTTGAATACAAATACAAATTACTTTTACAAATAACAAATGTAGTAAGTCAATCAGTAAATCACACTTCCCCCTTCATGGCAAATGGGTCACCCCTTGTTGCTCAATTCCTATGCCCGCAAAATCCACACAGAACACACACTGCTGTCATTTGTGAAAAAGTGAAATAGACTGAAGCCTCAGCAAAGCCAGCAGCACATACACATATGAAATGCACAAGCAGTATGTGATGTAATAAGTAAGTAAGAAAGTAAAGCAAAGGACCCTTTTCACTCCAGCTGCATTTTTGACATATAGGATAAACCAAACTGGCATTCGATAGGTGATGTGGTCAACGTCACGTCAGCTGCCTTTACTTTCAGGACATTTTCTGGTAGCCATTTTAAAAGCTAGGTAGACCTGACAGCTGCGATCAGTTATAAATAAATCAGACTCAATGTGGATTTTAACTCTGGACCCTCAGGCAATCATCTAGCCAAATTACTACTGCAACTCCCTAACAATGTTATGGCAACAGTAAAATGAAGTTGGAAAAAAAAAGGCAGATATCAAGAAATACATGCCATTTTACTAACAATGAACTTTGCAAAAGTAACTTGGTCTAGAAACAAACCAAAGCTAAAGACACAAGCTTTAGAGTTCACATACCTAAGCAGCAGGTCTACAATACAAAAGATCAAACAGAAAAATGAAGCACACACAAAAAAGTATGTTTTATGATCTCTCGTCTTCTTTCAAACAAGGAAAGAATTTGATGTAAGTCAGGTGACAAATTATAAACCACATATTTCTTCCATCACTGAGAGTGAAACAATCCACACACAAAAAGTATAACAGCACTGCTAAAAAACAAAAATGGTGAAACTATGGGGGTGACTGCAGTCAAGCTAATACAATGAATTCCAGAGAAATTTGACTAAAAAGCTCAACAAAATGGGAAAAAGGAAAACGTGCACAAAACAACACAACGTAACATTTCGGCCAGGCAGCCTTTTTCAAACACAAGTGGACTACACAAAAGAGGAATGGAGAGTAGGATATACTCTCCATTCCTCTTTTGTGTAGTCCACTTGTGTTTGAAAAAGGCTGCCTGGCCGAAACGTTACGTTGTGTTGTTTTGTGCACGTTTTCCTTTTTCCCATTTTGTTGAGCTTTTTAGTCAAATTTCTCTGGAATTAAAAAACAAAAGTAAACAATCTCTTTAAGGGCACTGGCACATTAGGAATATGGTGTTACACCCATATTTTTAAAGAACAATTGGCACTCAACATCACACTGACCACATTTACTTCCAGGGATATTTCATAGTAATAATTTTAGGTTGGGTTGACCTTAGATCCATTATGAAAATTCCCTGTGACTCAGACTGAAGCCCAGCTTCTTTGTACTGACAGGCAGGTGTCTAACCACTGCGCTATTGCAGTTCCCTTATAACATAGGTTCTTCTTCTCCTGTCGTTTATCTTCCCATGGAACACAGACCCTTAACAACCTCACGCCAAGTTGTCTTTATTGGTTGCTATCAACTGCAGCTTACCCCATATCCTCCCTAAATTTTAATTTCCCTTTGTAGTTATCTTCACCATGTGTTTTTTTTTTTAACCTTTTTTTTTTTAAATTTTAAACTTGAGGTTCCAGTGCAAAGATAATCTATTTATACTGTTCTCAGACTTTTTAAACATGTGTCCTGTCAAATACTAGCTCATTTTCCCCACCTCATGGTTTACTGAATTTCTTTTTAGCTCTCTCCTAAAGATCCATATTAGCTATTCTTTCAAACCATTTAATTCACTCTATTTTTCATAGGCATCAGTTAATGAGTGTTTGTAGTTTGTTAGTAATTGTTCTCTCCATGTTTCAACTTTATACAACAGTAATGAATAACAGAGGTTAACTACAAATAAACATGTATCTAAACAAGAAAAAACAAAACTGTCTCTGTAATACTCATCACTGAGATACTTTTATAAATTTAAACTGATATTCTATTTTCATAATAAAAAATTATGAAGAAATTATGTACCCCATAAGAATTCATAGTGTTTGGCACACTCTTATTCCCAGGATACTTGTCAAATTGCTTTAGTTCCTCCACTAGCTGTTGACAAAATTCTTGTGTAAACACAGGTAACCTGTACACTGCAGACTCTGAAATGTTTGGTAAGACATACTTAAAGGTGCCATTCAAAGCAATGTTTCCCTGTATTTATTGCCTAGCATATTTTTCAGTATATTGATGCATATAACCTATACACCTATGTATGCAACATCGACCAATGGCAGAATCTCCAGATTTCTTGAAGCAGCCATGAGAAATCACCATCCAGATTTTTGTAAACAAAAAGTCATTGCTGTGAACCTGCACTTGCCCTGGTAAATTTAGCAGGCTGTTGATTTTGAGAGTAGTTGATTTTCTATTTAAGCAATAAAGGATTCATTTATCAGCTGATTTTTATTCAGTTATTACTGCAGTATGCACCTGGCAAGATACAGCAAAATATGCTTGGCAATAAAACTGTGCAGTGTACTGTTTGTGTCCTTTTTTACTTTCTTGGGGTTTCTTTACAAAAGTGTTGTGTCAATATACACAACTAATGGCATTTTCACTCTGACAGGGAATACTACTGTTTATTCTAGTCGATTGTTTACTATTCTTAAATCCTCTGCTAAAATGTAAGATGGCAACTCAACAGTTAGTGTATCTGATCCTCAAGACTCAAATAAGGTAGTAGGCTCTATATAAACATGGATAGGACTTAACACTGCTTTAGATGCCCATTTGATACAAGAGCCCATAAGGGTAACAAAGAATAGCGACACTTTAGAGACACACATACTACAAAAGGTGACTATATACATATGCAATCATTATTTGTTAATTCTTCATTAGTTAAATATACAAATATAATCAGTTTGATCACATAAAAGTTCACTTTCAACATGGGAAATAATCATATCTGCATGTCAAAGCCAGTATATTCCCAGTGTTGGTTCTGAGGCCCCACTGCCTCCCTATAAAGCATGTCGTAAAAGGCAACCAATCAGGGATGGTTCATTCTTAGTTGGAGTATCTGTGTGAGAGGCGAAGAACCAACAGTCTGCTTAGAAATAAGCAGATATATAAAATGGATGTGCATACAAAATTCAAATTTTGGAACATGACTCAAGTCCAGAAGTAGAAAAACAACTAGAACTTTCCGCCAGAGTTTACAGCTGGTAAATTTTAGGAAAAAAAACCAGTAGATAATTGTATTCATTAAATAAATGTAAAACAGTCAGGTTTATGAAGATATTAGGTCTTCAAACCTGTAATGTGGCCTCCATTTTGCACAAGGGATAGCAATAAAGAATCCAAACTTTTGTGCTGAGCATCACTAGATATAGTAACAAATCTTGGATCCACAAATGATGGTTTTAACTTCCATATTTCTGGGTAGAGTCTTTCATAGTTGCTTTGAATGTCTTTATAGTTTGCCAGGGATGACTCATGAAATGATCTGCGCCGTGCCACCTCTTCTTTGACCTGTCAAATGAAACCTTTGTGTGTGAATAAAAAGCAGTATTCTTTAAAAAGTTTCACTGTTCTATTTGTATTTTTTTGGTTTAAAATAAGTAAACCAGACCCTTTTTACACATTGTTTTTGCATGGGGCATAAGGTGCTAGACCAACATTTGTATAGACCAGCCAATAGTCGATGAGTAAAGTCAGTATTACACTAGCTGCAAATTACTTCTCAGGATATTTCCTGGCATCCATTTTAGGCTAGGTCAACATTGGAGACCAGTTCAGTTAAAAAAAAGGAAAGTAAATTATAAAATAAGGCAGATTTGAACCTAAAACTTTTGGCCTGCCAAGCAAAAGGCTGGCCACTGAAGAACTGCACCTCCCACTGTTGCATAATAAGAAATGTATTCTTCTTTGTTTTTCTCTTGAGAGGAAAGTTCTAAGACTAGCTTTGTAGGACTTCCCCACAAAATCCTGTCACATAATGTTGGATTATAGCCTAATCTTTGTAATTTCCTGCATGCACAGCTTACACATTGGGTTTCTCATTTTTCAGATTATCTGAGGTTGCAGGATATTTGACCTTGTTACCTAAGCAACCAGGGAGATAATATCATTAGAAAAGATCAGGTCATGTAAACTATTCCCAATCCCATGCTTGGGGTGAACCTGACAACTTCTGACTTAAAGAAAGATTTCTAAACATCTCAGTCATAAAGATCCATATGCAGAACAGAAAGATTAAGTAATGATATCTATTTACCAAACACAACTGCACAGTCACTAACATGGTAGAGTGCAAATTATATCAACATTGAAACACAACTAGCCCTAACAACAGCATACATAGTCTCCATAACTTTATTGGGGTTTGGGGGCATGTAAATAAATGACAAAGATAAATAATTACAATAACATCATGGACAAACTAAGCTTTTGTGCAGGGTTAGTGACTCAAGAGTTGATGATGAGCAAAGTAAAATATCAATGACAAAGTGGCATTGGAATTGTCTACTGCAATAAAAATTGTGTGCTTTCAATATAGTACTAATTTTCATAATTTAATACTTACCTCTGCAAGAACAGTAGCATACTGTGTATCAGTTGTACATCCCTTAAAGCGTAAATTCTGAAAAAATTAAAATCTCTACATAAGAAAAATTAGTAGTACTTTTAATGGAATTTCACTTAAATGGCTGGGGCATATAGAGAGAATGTCAGATGACAGAGAGGTAAAAACTATATACTCGAGGGAGTTGAATGGTTGTAGACCACGAGGCAGACCAAGAAGACGATGGAGATATAATGTCCAGACAGACCTACAAACATTTGGTGTCACCAACTGGAGGGAGAAGGCCAACCAGAGAGATGAGTAGATGTGGGTGATATCTGCAGCAATGAACCTCAAGGGCTCGGAATGCTGAAGAAGAAGAAGAAGATTAATGGAATTACAATTTGTATCTTTTGGATAATACCATACAAATTTTTAACTCTTTCTGCCTCGGGCAGAAATAGTGAATACAATGTTTTCTCCATAAGTTTTAGCCATTTTTTTATCAACAGACTTCAATGTTGTATCTAAGGGGAAGGAATAGAGTGGGTAACTGCAATAGCTGTCTAGCAGCTGTGAAGTAAAAACAAAACTAAAAGGAAAACAGATTTATACTAATTTATTTTTCATTGTTTGGTTAAAATTTATAAGAGAAGTAATCTAATAACTGTGAAAGAAATTTTTCGTTATTTGAAGCCTTACTCTGGCTATTGCCAGGGGCTGCAATATAGCCCGGCCATAAAAATGGTCTAATGGCTGAACATGGTTTCTGGGACCTCTCAACGGGTGATCCTCATCCACATTTTGGTACTTTGTGTCATCAGGTGTTTATCGCTTGTGTGATGTCCTGGTGGGGTAAAAGAAGATAGATAGATAAGTTTCAGAGAATTAATGATTTAACCATTCATCTCTTTGTGGGATGCAATTTTTTGTTATTTTTAAGCCCTACTCTGGCTCTTGCCAGGGGCCGCAATATAGCCCAGCCATAAATATGGTCTAATTGCTGAATGAGGTTTCTGGGACTTCTCAACGGGTGATCCTCATCCACATTTTGGCACTTTGTGACATCAGGTGTTTATCGCTTGTGTGATGTCCTGGTGGGGTAAAAGAAGATAGGTAGATAGGTTTCAGAGAATTAATGATTTAACCAATCATCTCCTTGTGGGATAAAATGTTTTGTTATTTTGAAGCCCTACTCTGGCTCTTGCCAGGGGCTGCAATATAGCCCAGCCATAAATATGGTCTAATTGCTGAACGTGGTTTCCGGGACCTCTCCACGGTTGATCCTCATTTACATGGTGAAACTTTGTGTCATCGGGTGTTTATCGCCTGTGTGATGTCCTAGTGGGGTAAAATCTACTACTACTACTAATTTCAGAGAATTACAAAGATATAATTATTTTTAACATGTTGAAAACAGTCATTATTTAAGAATTCTACAGGGTGAAGGGGTTAGGACTTTTGCTGTTTTGGCATCAATAGTGGCAGTGCCAAGCATGATCCTAGGTAAGGATGACGTATGGGCTTTCATAATAAATAAGCTTCAGGAACATTCTAAAGTCTGTTGAAAGACAGCACACATATGTCCAGTATGACATGTATCGAGACTAGTTAATCAATCAGCACTGCAAGCCAGCACAAGAAGAATATTTGGTTCTTTCAAATCTATTAATACCAATGTTTGGAGAATAACTAAAATGGTTTTAATTCAGATGTATTAACACCCGCACATTGTCGATTTTACAATGAAAACCAATGGCTGAAGAGACAAAAAAGGTCTGTATTGAATACATTAAATATTATAAGTCAAATTTATTAACATGAAGAAAATAGTGGGACAAAGGTAGATCTAAAAAGAATGGGATGTCACAGACTAGAGAAACATCAGAGACAGAAAGGAAGCATCAGACTGTGCTTGAAATCAGCAGCTTTACAGAGTCTGACAGCTGAAGAATAGATATGGAAATATACAATTATGAAATACTGTTAATGAAGGAAGGTAGGTAAGAACCCAGACTGCACTGATTCCAGAGAACTTGTACTGCATCCTGTGACCCTAGACACAAGTCTTAGCGGTGTCACACAGGAAATATTACCACTTCTAAGAAAAGTGTACGAAGGTGAAACAATCGCACATTGTCCATTCTTTATAGTTATAAGCTAAGAATTTCTTGCCTTCCTCTTTTCCTTAAACTTTTGTTTTTTTAAACTGTCTCCACAGTGAAGTGGTTAAGCCACTTGCCTCCTCCCACTCTGAGGAACATGAGCTTGTTTCACGGCTGCGCTGTTTGATTCATGAGCTAAATTTTTACAGACTCCTAGGGATAATCGCTTTAGCTGCAGTGTTTATACTTTGAGTGACGCTCTTGGCAAGCTACTAGCCATTCTGTGAAGAGAGACTGAGCCACGTGGGATAAAACCTGGCGCAATAAAGACAATCCTCTTGACTTTAAAAATGTTGCTATCTTGCCAAGGGAGGCTGGCTGCAGCGTATCTACTGCTGTCTTTATGAATTATGTGGAGCCAAATTTCTTCCATGGTGTGACTCTCATACCACTGTCAACTTGTATACAAAAGCTTAAAAACAAATATATGCTATAATAATGTCTCCAACCTACCTGTCTGTACTCTTGTTCAAACTGTTTCTCATTTTCAAAGACAACATGAATCTTATACTTTTTCAGAAATATATTTCTCTTAAAAAAGCATGAACAGATATATTCTTTAGGCGACATTTGTAACACAGTTCATGGACCTGCATAACCATCTTGTGTGAGATGTAAAGATCACATTATTTATAATTTATATAAAGTCATGTAACTATATCAACTTGACAGAAACAAATGATTAACCAAAAATGCTTGTCTATGCTTCACAATAGTGACTAGTATTATGACTAAATTACTGAATCAAGAATGGACATTCCTTCATTCAGGACATTCTTAGATATGCTCTGACTCCTTCCTCAGCAGCCAACAAAGAGGTGATATGCTAACAGCACCAGTTGCAACCTATGAGTCTGCCTATGTTTTGCTTGCAGTGTCGAATCTTCCAGGCACTCTGCTCCCCCACCTGAATTAGTCTGTCAGTGTATGGATACTTGCTCTGTTCTGTTCCAATGTCCACTTGATCCCAGACAGCCTTCACACTTCCACTTTATCACAAAGTAGTACCTCACCCAGAGGAGTGGCAGCAGCCAAAATTTCAGCCTGCTCATTGTCCCTCAGACCTCAATATCCTGTACAGAAAATCCAAGATCTGAGTCTTATCATGTAATGCAAGCCACTTTACTTGTAGGATGCCAGTTTCTATTTTCCGAAACACGCTCTGTGAGTCTGTTACAGTTACCATATGTTGAACTGTGCTGCTTGCAAGCCATCAGAAGGCTGTAATTACTGTCTCTACCTACATTCTCATACTCAACAAAAACTAATAAAACGTTTGTGGCATTTCAGGCAAAAATTAGGGCTTTTCATTGTGTGTATTGAAAAAACCCTATCTATGAACAAGCTAGCTAAAGCAATGTAGATGATACGACCCATAAGCTGTAGATCTGCTTTACCGTTATAGTAAACAAAAATCATTTTAGTCATTACATTTTATAAAATATAAATATGTTTTTTGTTCTTTTTAAATAAATATAACTATAACATAACGGATAACGTCATACATTATTATTATTATATAATTATATTAATAGGGCTCGCAGTCTGTTCCTCAATATAATGGATGAAATTTAGCAAAGCACATTTTGCCTCTCTCGTCAAGCAATGAACTAAGGCAAGCAGACAAAATAACTCAAAGTTAACAAGTAAACTATGGTTATAATAATATAATAGACAGCAGTTCTTCGCAGAAAACAGAAACGAACATTCAACAGTACGACAAGGATCGTGGAATGCACATTTCGAAGATAAATAGTTTCAGAATTTTTTGCTAGGTAGAATATAATGAAGTAATTTTGCAATCGTCGATAAAACCTAGTAAGAAATATAAAAATAATGAAAAGCCAGATTTCATTACTGCATAACTAGCAGCAAAAATATCTACACAAAATTGACTCCGGCCTTCAGTGAAATCGTGCACTCACAGACTGATCTGACTATCTGGTGTTCAAGGAACGAAAAGACCTGCTCGCCTTTGTGTTGTATTTGTTAGTTATTTGTACAACAGTGAGTACTTATTAATTAATGTTGAATTAACCGAATAAGTTTTCAGTAGTTTTTGCGTGAGCATCAGCTTACGTATGAAATATGTGTGTTCGGTAATACTATAATATAATACGGTTACTGTAACCTGCTGCTATGGAAACCACAAAACCAGTTTTTAAGTTTTTAGCAACAATCTCAAATCTGTTTACAAATAAGTCAGATCTGTAAAACGGATGTGCACGCACACCCAGGTTTGGGAACATGACTAACGTCTAGAGGTGGATGAACAAACAGAACTTTCCGCCTGAGTTTACAGCCTGTGAACACAGAACGCGAAGAAGAAGAAGACGATTTTTATAATGTATAATACTATCAGTCTGCTCAATGAAGGTTGGCATCAGTGGACTGGATCTTCAGATTCTCTGTCTCTTGTCTTGGTAGTACACTTCGCGACTGCTGTTCGTACATCTCTTAATGTTGTCATCCCTCTTGTATCCTTGTCTACCTCTTGCTGTCTTCTTATCCTTGACCTTTCCCTCCAGTTTGGTTTTTAACTCTTTCAGTACCAAAGAATTTACTGTTTTATTTATTTATTGTTCATTCCTAATATAGTTTGATGTTCTAGTTCTTGCTGTCTTTTATAACACTCACATGCCATATTAACCCTATATCTAAATTATTAGTTTAACTACTTCTGTCTTAAAATGTCTCTATTAAGATCCTTCAGACTAAAGTATTTATTGCTTTCAAGTAGTAGTAGTAATCCCCCCCCCCCACACCCCCCCCCCCTTTAAAAAAAATCCTGTTTTAATTGAGATATATGGTGTTAATCAAGTTCTCAGGGTATATATTTGTTATTTTATATTTATATATATTTATATGACCCATATGTAATATACATTGTTTCACTTATTGCTTCGATCTGAGTTGTGATTATGATAGAAACTGTACTATGAATAATTAAACAATCTTACTAACATTGTATCATTAACATGTTGGATTTATTATTCCCTAACTGTAATAGTTGACTATTATCCTCTAATAATAAATTGTTCGACGTTGCCCTGCAGGTCTCTGGGACTGTTTATGTGCAATATGCTTTCATGTTGAACTCCTTGAGATAGATGGAGTTAAGATTATCAGTAACAGCAATTCAAATTAAGACCCTTGTCCATGCCTTCAGGCGTATTGGGCATAGAGGACTAGACCTATATTTTGTAATCCAGTCGGTGGGTGATGTGGTCAGATTCACACCTGCTGTCTTTACTTCCCAGGACTTAACTTGCTACCTATTTAAGACTAGGTCGACCATTTAAAAAACAAACTTTCAGCTCCAACATAATAAGGACTTGGTACTTAAAGAATTAAAAGAGTATTTGTCATTTAATGTGGACAAAATATTTCAGTTGTATCTTTTTTTTTTCAGTAGCTATATTTTCATTCCCAAATCTCTCCAGAACCTTTGTATTTGTTTTTGTTTTGATTCAATACGACCTAGTCTTTTTTTTTAGTTTGCTATTGGAAATTGCTTATGCTACCACTTGGATGTCCTTGCTTTGTCTTCACTCCACAAGAGAAAACCTCTGCCCCAAAAAATTGATGAACATTTTATGTTCATTTCATAACCCTGAGAGTTGAACAGGATATTTTTGTGTACAAATTACTACAACTATCACTACCACCGCTAGAAGAAAAAGGTGCTGGTACTCATCATGAAGCATCTATTACAGAAGCACCGAACAAAAAAATTATGTCTAAAAAAGGTGCCAGTAATATGTACTGTTGGATACCACCAGGCCAGGAAGAGAGCCCTGATTTTGTCAGAAGTACAGTTTAGTTTAGAACGTTATTTGCTGGAGTGTTAAAAATAAGACATTCAAAGGGAAACTGGAAACAATGTATAGTAAAGTGAAAGTAAATGGAATGTCTTGAGTACTGTGATGTTGATTCTTAACTCTTTGAGTCCCAAGGAACGCATCATACGTTCATAGGTTCCTACCTAGAAGCCCAATGAACGCATATTGCGCCAATTTTATTACTTTCTTTACTACCCCCTGGGCCTGTGATGCTAAACCCCCTGGGACTCAAAGAGTTAATTCAACATTCTACTGGATGTAAACATTTTATTTCCTGATATGTACTGTTTAATGTTTCTGTAATTCTCTAATGCTATCTTTAACATGTTTAGATGACCTGGATATCGAGGCATTGAACTTTAGTGTGTATCCTCAGCATGTTAATCATTGTATGTTGTTAGTTTTGACCAGAGCTTTTTTTTTTTCTGGTGGTACATGATGGTACACAGTACCAGCACCTTTTTTTTAGGTATAATTTTTTCAGTTCAATTATTAGACACTTTGTGGTATGTACAGGCATGGTTTTTTTTTTTAATAAACACTTTGGGATGACTACCAGGCCATTTCTTTAGTGGGAAAAGCTGTGTTATTATTCTTTTTCTTTTCTAAATGATTGTGATTCTTGTATTTAACATTACTTATGTATATTTACGCTATGCTAAGCTTCTAAGTGTTTGATTTAACAGGTGGTTTACAGATTTCCTACATGAATTCATAAGCATCGCCAGAGATTTGTCCCAAAAAAATGTCAACAGTTCATCTTCATATTGGCCAATGTGGCAATCAGCTGAGTGTTCCACTGTGGCAAAATTTTATCAAGAGCAGCAGTAAAGGGACAGAACAGGTGTTTACTTCCTTGGATGGATGGCATCGTAGTGTTCACATTGACAGTGAGCGTAAGGTTATAGCTTTATTGCCAGAAACATTCCGTGTTAGAGAGAAAAATGTGGTATTTGGGAAAAGAGGACGAGGCACAAACTTTGCTTTAGGGTACTCTGGGGTGGCATCTTTAGGTGATGATCACGTCTTAGAAAGTGCTCTGGAAGCAGTAAGAAAGGAGATTGAGAGATGTGATATTTACTCTGGTGTCATTGTTTACCACAGCATCAGTGGTGGAACAGGGTCAGGTCTAGGTGCTCACATGATTGAAATGTTGCGGGACAACTACCCATGTAACTATATCCTGTCATGTGCCGTGGCCCCTTGTGTTAGTGGAGAAAGTCCCTTACAAAACTACAATGCACTGTTGGCACTACACTGGCTTCAAAACTACTCAGACTGCATCATTTTACTTCCAAATGACTTTTATCTGTCTCGTTTACACTGTAAACTTCATTCTGACGAAGCTGTTAAACAGTTGTCATTCAAAGATTTAAACAGTGTAATTGCCAGCAATCTTTGTGGAGTGTTTCTACCAACTACCACTTTATCACTTTCCAAAAATGTCAGTATTGGTCAGGAACCCTGGGAGCTAGTTCGAACTTTAACTCCAATGCCATCGACGAAGTTTGTTCATCTGTCACAACACATCTCTTCTAGATTGTCCTGGGAAGAGATGACTTCAAAAGTGTTAAGCACATATCCAAAATATAATTCTGAAGGTGTCCAAAATCATTGCCTTTCTGGAACTGTTGTGGCAAGAGGAGATAAAGACAATATATTTTTGGCTGCTGTCAATAGAGGTATTGATAAAAAGGTTAAGAAAGGTGTTAATGTTGTCAGTTGGAATCCATATCCTTTCGACTGGTGGAGGACATCAGTGAATACAGTAGGCTCAAAGAAAAATTGCAGTATAACTTTGGCTACAAATTCAACTTGTATTCTTGATCACCTCAATACTATTCAAGCAAAGTCTCAGGTAAAGCTTGAGTCAGGTGCTTATTTACATTGGTACGATCGCTATGGGATATCACAGGTATGTATTGCGACAGATGTGTATTATAACTTTAAAATGTGCTTACTTTATTTATCATTAACATATTTTGTATTTGAAGTGTCACACATTAGTTATTGTTGATACTTTTCTGTCTCTTCTTTATTCCTATTCCCTTACTGATTTCCCCTCTCCATGCAGTAGGGCCCATGGCATCATGTTCCCATGAATTTGCATAACTGCCTTTACCATTCATGTCCCCTTTCACACACCTTAATATTGTAATATGAAATTAAATAATTAGTAATATTTAACCCCACCCGTATGTTCCTGGAATTTAGGCAAAGAATATTCAGTTCAGGATTTTTACCAACACTCTGCTACCAGTGCCAGCTATGGAGATTAAAGCTAAAGGAAAAAGAAAAATAGAAACAATAAACCTAAAATAACCATGACAAACCCTAAATAGTACAAGAAATGACAATACCTGAAATGCAACCAGTGCTGAAACACATAAAGAAACAGCAGACAGATGTTTCGGACAGCATCAAGAATGCCATAACAGTGGAAACAGAGGCCATCAGTGCAAATAATGGTTAGATAAAATATATGAGTTGAGTCAAGAACTGGCATCACAGCACTCTGGGCATTCTCATGCATGCGTCCTAATCTTCAGCAACCGTTGAAGAGTTCCAATACTGATGGTACTGGTCACAATCTGGCTATATGTACGCAGGCCATATAATAGGCCAAGAATACTAACATCTACACATCATACACTTCTTCAGACCTGGTGCTGAAAGACACAACCAGGACTACAAAAAAAATAAATGAAGAAGTAGTGGGAGATAAAAAAAAAACATCAACAGGAGAAGCAAACTAGAGAAAGAGTTGAATAATATGGGAAATACATGGAGGGAGATAAAAGAGATAGCTAACATGTTCCATTAGGGCTTCTGCTCAAATGTGGGATTGAGGGCAGAAGAAGAAGATTGTGTAACTCTTATTGTGCAAGATTTTCTATAATTTCTCACTACCTCTATTTATTTATGTGCCGTTTGATTGTCAGTATCTCCACCCATCTACTTGTTCACCCATCAGTAGGCAGGTTGGCAGGATGTTAGCTGGACCTGCAAAACCAATTCTTTTTTAAAATAAATATTACATATTTTGTTATCTTGTTTCTCTCCTTTCATATTTGCCCCCCTCTCTCTCTCTCTCTCTCTCTCTCTTTTTCACACCCTCCCCCACCCCCCCCCCCTTCCAACCTATTCCTCCAGGTTTGACCCCAGATCACCCACCCACCTGCACATATGGGCATTCTGATGCGGCCTTGTGAAGAACCAGGGGTTATCCCAGTTATCCCATAAATGCTGTTATCTAGGCATGTCAAGTTTTTTGATAGCCTGATGTCTTTGGACCGTGGTCACTATGCCTGTATAACCAACAGCTTTCGTGCTGGTTGCAGCTGTATAATGTGCAAACATGGTGGGTCTGATTATGTTTAACACTAAGAAAAAAATTTTGTTGAGAATCATAAAAACCTTTATATTAAAACACAGTGAAGAGATATTCTAACAGTTAAATAGTAAGGAGCTGTGGCAACCTACTGTTTAGTTTTGATGCTTATCAGAACAGCAGCCTGAATGTAATCGCCGATAACGTCTGGAGGGAGCATACTAGCGTATTTAAAACTCCTTTCATCCTAAAAGATTTTGCAGGGTGTGTTTATGAAAGCATGTGGATTTTCTATTTTTTTTTAATTAAATCATTTTATTTTATTTACTATTAAATTAACTCTTGGTATGCAGTGTTGTACTTCATGTTTGAAGCTTGTCTAGTTAGCCAAATTTTGTACTTCCCAATAATAAGATTGTAAAAGGTGGTTTCTAGCACATGCTTTAATAGTCATTTATGTTTGCAAATTGAAGAAGAGTTATGCCACAACAATTTCTAGTATTTTCTTATAATTAGATGCCTGTTGATCAGAAAGTCATGGGTTCGCTCCCTGGCAGAACCAAACTTTTTCTAAAATGAACTTGGCTCCCAGGTTGACCTAGCCTTACGTGGGTACCAGGTACAGTCCTGGGAAGTAAAGGCGGCTGGCGTGATGCTGACCACTCACCCATCTTGTGCTGTTAGTCTATAAAATATAGGTCTAGCTCTATATACCTAATATGCCTGAAAGACATGGAAAAGGGTCCTTAACCTTTACTTTTACTTTCTTATGACTTATCTTGTGACAGGATATGTTTTCTGAAAGCATGGAAACTCTTCAATCCGTGGCCTCGGCTTATGAAGACATTAGAAAAAGCTAGACGTGTTTTCTTTTCAAGCAGAGCTTTTGATATTTTATCTTTTTTCTTTAAAGGTAAGTGTGTATTTTATTTATACAATATAGATTGTATTCTTCTATCAGGAAGTTTTCATTCATAGCTTTTTGCGCTGGTATATGATGTTAACTGTTTAATGACATGGTTTTGCTATTTTTTTTTTGTGCCACATTTTCTCTGCCTTTGGTTTTTAATTTACTAGAAGTTTATTATGCACCTGTTGCTGCATCAGGGGTGCAGTTAGGGAGAAGTTAGCTGGCACCTTAAACAATATGCACTGTGAAGACATACGAGTAGAAGATATCAAACAAATTTTGAAAAAAAAGGCAAAGAACACTGCACCAGGGCCTGATGGTGTCAGGTATAGCCACATGAAGGATTTGAGAGATGTGGACCTGGCGGAGATGGCTGACTGTTTTAACCAGAGCATTAAGACAGCAAAAGTACAGACAGACTGGATGCACAGCTATCTTATCCCACTACCAAAACCTTTTAAGGGTCATTCAAAGCTCAGTGGCTTTAGAATCATCACCATACAAAACACATTTGGGAAGGTCTTGGAGAAGAAAGTTGCTGAAAGCTGCAAATATTTTTGGAAAGGGGGAAGCTTCTCCCAAGAGGTCTGGGAAGCTACACGCCAGGAAGGGACACATGGGCAAATGCGGCCACTTTTGCTTTTGACGTCTATGAAGGGTTCCAGAACAGACAGGAAACTATGGCGGCAGGACTGGATCTAGAGGATGCTTATAACAGAGTGAGATACGACATCTTGATGACTGCACTGAAGGAGAAGGAGATCAGTCTATGGATGGTCTATGGATTGCAGCTGTCCTGTATTCACGTCGAGTTGCTCTTCGACTGAGCTCATGGACCTCAGAACCATACAGTTTGGCTGCCACAGGGATCCGCAATCTCGCCTGTGCTCTTTAACGTGTATACGAGCAAGACTGCAAGCCTAGAAGCACCAGGAGTTGGAAGGATACTGACTTTTGCGGATGATATACTTGCATATAGGCAGGGGGAAGAGAAAAAACAAACAGCCCGAGAGCTACAAGCGACAGTGAACAAAGTGACTGAGGGTGTACAGAAATGAGGGCTTTTGTCCACTCGGAAAAGGGGTATGTTTTGTGGTGTTCTCTGGACAACAGGATCATTACAGCTAATGTCCCAAGCCTCACGATAGATGGTAGAAACATCAACAGAGAGAGAGCAAACTGAAGTATCTGGAAATTACATTTGACAGGAGCCTGTCCTTTAAGGACCATGTGGAGAATGTTGTGACAAGATGCCAAAAAGGACTTGGTGCACTTAAGACTATGGCTGCAGTTGACATAGATTAGAGACCAGAGACACCCCAGCGGTGTGTATGCGATACATCCTTGGTTTGTCGACTGTTGCAGGTAGGCACAAGGTGCTGCACTTTTATTTATCACCTTTCTGCCATGACTTCACCTAACTGATAAAAGTTTGATAGTAGTGGTTGTTTTGGTCCCACCATTCTGCTCTTATTGCTGAATATTTTATATCAGTAAAATGACCCCTTTTATTACATTCATTTGGAAAACAGTATCATATGCAATAACTCTTTCAGTCCCAGTGGGTTTAGCATCAGAGACCCCAGGGTTGTAAAGAAAAACATATAATCGGCACATCGTTTGTTCACTGGGCTTCTAGGTAGGAACCTATGAATGTATGATGTGTTTCTTGGTGATTGAAAGAGTTAAGTGAAAATAAAAGATAATTGTAAGGTCCCTTAAATTCAAGGACAGAAGAATGTAATGAGTGAAAGAATAACTATGCTATTTATTTCCCTAATTGTTTCATTTATTTTATGTAGTATTTTCCCATGTTGTAGGTTGTGGAAAAGTAGAATTGCCTATATCAGTCGGCTAGGCAGTCGATTAAAGTTTTACCATACTTCCTGCCATACATTTTAAAATTTCCTCCCCTTCACCATGTCTGATCTACTAACCGCATGACTTTCTCATTAATCTTTTTTGTTTTTGTAACACATGTTCCCATTATTTTCCCATCTTCCAGGACCCATGCATGTGAATGACAAGCAGCTGGCAGTGTAATTAAATGTGCTATAAATCATTAGATAGTAACTCTCTGTTCTGTTTTTGTATTGTTCATTTATTTGAACTGGTTCAGTTGAAATTTAGATTTTAGCTAGTATAAACACATTCACAGTGTAACAATGCTGCCTGGACAATTATGCATATTATTTTCTGTGGGTAAGGGAATGGTTTATGTTTATTATGTATGTAGTAATCAACTATGACTAAGAATTATATTGTTTAATTAACAGATTTACAACACCTAATGTGCTCTACAATTAAAATAAAAAAGGTGGTAAATTAGGCATATGATGCCAGACTTATATTTGCATAGATCAATCTATAAAAATGATGCACACACCAGGACATTGAGCAAAGTGTAGACCAAAAACAAGATGGAAAGATAACAACAGAGAAATATAACACCAGCGCAGTGTGTTTATGTAGAGGCTGCCAGAAAATCAAGAAGTAGAACCTTTTAAAAAGAGGAAGAAGAAGAAGAATTGATGGGTGATGTGATGAGCATCATGCCGACCTCCTTTACTTTCCCAGGACATTTCCTGGTATTAATTTTAGGCTAGGTAAACCTGGAAGCCGAAATCAGTTTAAAAAAAATTAACGTGGATTTGAATTAAAGACCTTTGGGTCCTCAGGCAAGTGTCCAGCTGATATGCTATTATGGCTCTTAGTTAATAATAGAATGGCTCTTAAGTGGGCATTTGATAATATTTTGAATGATGCGGAATGTAAACAGAAGCTGTTTGACCATGCTCTCTACATTTAAGATAACGGATTTATTTTAACAATTTTTTCTCCAAATAATAATAATAAAAAAAGTAATAATAATCATCTAGCACCTGGTCTGGAGCAGACATTAATATTTATGACCATTGACTACTAACAATGTCATCTGACATTTTCAAGTAATTATGTTTCTTATATTTTTATTTGTTGACCTGCTTTTTTTTAAAGCTTTTCACCAGCATTTACTCTGTCAGCCTCTTCCTCTCTTGCTTAGTATTTTCCAACATAGGGTTAGGTTCTGTATTTCTCTTTTTATGTTAAATCCGATAATTTTGTTTTCTCATAGGTCTCTTCTTCTATTATGTTTGTCATATTATATTTTTTTTTTGTGTGTAGAAAAAAGAGACAGGGGGTGGTTAGACAAAATTGTATTGTGCCAGTTCATAGCAAAACTGAGATATTTTTTGTTTGTTTAGGCCAACGCCTGTTGCTTTTTTCAGCATTCGTTAACTGGCTTACCTTTTCCCTAAAATTGTGTAAGACTTTTCACTGCCTCACTGTTGACGTCATCTCCTGTGTTTCATCTATGAGCGGCACTCTAAATTTGACTTACATATGAAGAGATGGTTATTTTTATCAGTAACATTTTTTTGGGGGTGTTTTTAAATTATGTGCCATCGCCGTAATGGAGATTGGCATCAGTGCACCCGTTACTATGTTTGGAAACTTCAGGATATGACATCATGAGGTCTCAACCTCCTTCATGGTGTGACTCTCATGCCACTGCTTAAATGCCATGAAAACTGTCTTAAAGAAAGAAAAAAGGAAACTAATAAATAAATCCTGAGTAATAAAAATCAAAACCTGGTACTTCAAAGATTGTGAAATTGTAAAAAAATGCATTCATTTTAACCCCTTAAGGTCACCTAGCCACACACATTAGGTCACTGCTGAAGGTAAATAATTTATAATCAGCTGGGTTTAACCCCAGTGTGGGTTCTAAAGTCCCATTTGGGCGGGGGGGGGGGGGGGGGGGGGGAATAAACCCACTGCTCCTCCCAAACAAGTTAAAAGAAAAAAAAGGAATAATTAGGTGTGTTTCTTTTGAAGTCAAAGTGCATCTGCCTGAAAGATGAAGAGCCAACACACAAAAGCTGAATCTGTAAAACTGATGTGAATGCAAAAACTCTAAGTTCAGGAACAAGGCCAAAGTCCAGAAGTGGACGAACAACCAGGACTTTTCACCAAAATTCAGTCAGTGAACACTAAGAAGAAGAATAAGAAGAAGCTGGGTGTTTTGATGAACAAAATACATATTTTTTGGTTGATGACTGTCAATGCCAAAAAGATTGATGTAAAAAATTCCTCTATAATTCTATTGTTTATAAAATAACAAGCAGTCCTGTAGCAGAAACTGCTAGAGTGTGAAGTATTATATTTAGCCTTTATATATTCTAGGCCATGACATTTGAGGGGTAGGGTGGCTAGTTCTCTTCCTGATAATTTTTCTTTCTCAGACAATTCTCAGAAAATTATTAAATTATGTCGAACCTCTAAACCACTAGTCACTTACTTTTGAAACAACGAGTTATGTAACATTGTAGCAATCATAGTATTCAAGGTTTAACCTTCACTGCAGTCAGGTTACCCCGTATATGCTCCGTTCTAATGCATAAGGCAGTTGCTAGAGGTGCCAAGGCCAGCAGTTGTCGCCAAAAATGCAGTTTGTCATTGATAGAACTTTAAACTAAGCTGGCCATACACATGCAAGATTATTACGTAAGGTATTTCACCGGCCTACATTTAAACCGGCTACTCAACATAAAGAATATCATGATACAACCACTGCACACTCGAAAGGCATTCCGCATTAAAAACGCAGCTCACAGTGTTGCACCAAGCACACCACTTAGTAGCCTAGGCAGCGAAGTTGTAGACTTCAGTCTATATGTGAAAATGGCATTAGCAAAGCAATGTCAAGAGCAAGAATACCCCTAAAACTTAAATTCTGCCTATCCTCCATATTGGACCAGATGTCAATATCCACGGCTAATTGATTGTATGATAGCATGATTGGACATAACTGAGTAGGCCTGTACTGCGAAAAATGTTTTGTCTTACTGTAGTAGTCTATCAGTGCTTATCTTTGTTGATGAACAAAAAATCAATTATATTTTTGGATTTTTGGATTCATTGTTGTCATTCATTAGCAGTGGTTATGATTTACTTATTCTGTAGCCTTTAACCTTTGTGTTGCCAGGACCAGTAAACTGATGTCATTTACAATAATCTGATGTTGTCATGATGAGTAACCGGAAGTTATCATGCCTAGCAACCTGATGTTGTCTTGACCAGTAACCTTATGTTGTCATGCCCAATAACCTGATGTTGCCATGCACAGTAATCTGATGTTGTCATGACCAGTAACCTGAAGTTGTCATGCCCAGTAATCTGATGTTGTCATGCCCATGTCATGTCTGTGAGGTGTGGTCACGCCTGGCACTGCAGCCAGCAGTATTGGGGGCAGCTAGCTCTCCTAGGAGAGGGTGAAAAGTTAAAATTAGCAGCCTGCTGCTGTCCCATGATTGCACAAGCCAACCTCACCTCCCCCTGGTGCAGACTGGGAACTGTATCTGTGAGGATACAGGCTAACGGGGAAATGTCCACCTGGAGAGGAGAGGGCCCCGGGGAGGTTGAAATACTGTCCCAGGTGCACCGTATTGTACTGTTTAATATCTTTTAAGAAAGAATTATGACTGATGCCCTAGAACAACATCATGGAACAGGTAGTATCGGAGGTCAAACTATAACAAACTTAAGGTTTGCAGATGACATCGATGGGTTGGCTGGAGAAGAACAAGAACTAGGTAAGCTTGTAAATCTACCTAGCTGAGCTTGTAAATCTACCTGATGAAACATCAACCTAGTATGGCATGGAAATAAATGCAGAAAAAACCAAAGTAATGACTAATAATCCACCAATCTATGTTAAAGGCCACAACATTTTAAGTGACTTGGGGTAAAGACCAGAAATTATGTCTAGGATTGCCCAGACAACATCAGTCCTTGCCAAGCAGCAAACATTTTGGACAACTAAAAACATTTCATACAAAACTAAGATTTTATTGCTCAGAGCACTAGCTTTTAGTACATTTATTATGGCTGTGAAACGTGAACCTTAACCGCTGAACTTGAAAGAAAAATACAAGCATTAAAAAAGCGATGTTTCAGAAAAATTCTTGGCATATCATACAGAGACCACATTAAAAACAAAGAGGTTCGCCATAAAATTATACAGCACACTTGCAACTATGAACCTCTTCTAACTACAGTGAAAAGTCAAAAAATGCAATGGAATGAACATGTAATAAGATTTAACAGCCTCTCAAAAATAATACTGCATGGCTCAGTAGAGGGAAAGAGGAGAAGAGGCAGACCAAGAAAGACCTGGTTACAAAACCTGACTGACTGGGTAGGCCTCAGGCATGCAACCATGAAGTCCATCGCAACTGACCGCCAAAGGTGGAGAGAGAGAGCTGATCAGACATTCAACAGAAACTGGTGACCCAACGACATGTAGTGTTATGGGATGATGATGATGATGTCACGCCCAGTAACCTGATGTCATGATCAATATTCTGTAATAGTGACCTAAGTAAAAAAAAATTTTTTTTTAAATTTACTTTTATGAATTTTCACAGGTTCATGACTTCTCAGGTTGAAAGGACTAGTGATATCATATACCCCTGATCTTTTAGGCAGAGAGAGTATCTATCCTTCTTAGATAAGAAGGAAAAAAACTAAATCATTAAACATTCTAAAGTTGTTGGAAATAGGAAAAAGTAGGTCGCAGTGCTGCTACCCTGACAAAAATCTATATATATATAAAAATCAATGTTTGTGTGTTTGTTTGCCCCCTATAGACTCGGAAACTACTGAACTGATTTAGCTGAAATTTTCAGGATATGTTTGTTTTGATACCGGATTTTGAACCATCGTGGTTTGAAATTCAACCTGTCACTGTTAGAGATAGGTGACAACAATTTATGCCATAATATTCGCAACTAATATTTATAGCTTTAGTGATTTCTAATTATAGCCACGTTAGTAATTGCGCATGCGCCGCCGTAGTCAGAAAGCAAGGCTTCCGCCATTCGCCGGCGAGTTACGTGCAGCCAACGCCTTAATACATAGAGTAGGTTGAGGTACCGCAAACAAGACTATCTCTATATTTGCCACAATAACCATATTAAACACGATTTCTATTTTCTGTTTTTTTTTTCTTTCAAACAATCTTCGATGACGGGGGGGGGGGGGGGGGGGGGCAATCAAGGACTATTTCGACGTCGGCGCAGACATTGACTGCGTCATTAACTTCATTAACCGTGTTGGACACATGCGATTTCTATTGTTGTGCTGTTTCATTAATATATCTGGAGTATCTGTCTACGAGAAAACAATTGCCTGCGGTTTTGAATTGTGTTTTAATCAGGACACATTAGTAGGGAGGGACACACATCTCTAATAGTTAAGTTCTCTTTTCGTTTATTCGATTATGTGGCTGCTTGGTCGAATGGTTAGAACACTGGGTTCCTGAGCGGGAGACCTGGGTTCGAATCCGCAGTAGTTAATTTTATTTTTTTTACCCCGGACTAAAATAATATCCTCATCTGCTCTGTCGTGGTGACAGCACTAGCCATGTTGCCTTAATATTTAATTAAAAAAAAAAAAAAGACAAGTAAATAGGTAAACCATTTGATAATTAAATTTGACCATTTCGCATACTTATGATTTTATTTTTAAACTTTCCGATTGCATGGTTACGCTAAAATTTTATAGATTTTCATTTCTTTTCATTTAGATATAGTTATTTCATCTGCGTTGTAATTTTAAGCTGTGCTGTTTACCATGGCGTTCATTTCCTAATTATGGTGTTTTTTTCCTGTGTTCATTTGCTTTTCAAGTGTTTTTTTTTCTTTCTCCTAACTACTTCAATGAGGGAAAGAGTTGTCGGTGAATTTGGGGTGGAGGGGGGGGGGGGGGGGGGGGGGGGGGGGGGTCAAACTTTTTACTGAGAGAGCTTTAAGTCACAGTAACTGCTTTACCCACTTAAAGTAGCAGCAGCAGTAATAGTTGTGGTTGGGCTGTTACACCATAGTGCTCTCATGTGAAGACCGCCGGTAAGGTTATGGCGTTCTTCTGTCGGCAAGTGAAATTATACATCCTAACCTGACCAGTCTGTGGCGACAGCACTAGCCATGCGGAACTAAATCTTCTGGCTCACGACTCTCTGTCTACTCCGATGGTAACACAGATAGCAGTGACATTATTTTAATAGTTGTACTGGTACTTGAAGGATGATGTGGTAAATATTACACTAGCCCCATTCACTACCTATTACAATTCCTGCTCCCGATTTTAGTCCAGATGGGCAGTGATGTCAATGTCAGTTACAGCAACAACAAAATATCGCCAGGTAATGATTTTCAAATATTTCGAAGAGGGAGAGAGCAGTAGTCGGTGGAAGAGGGGAGGGGAGGGGGTAATGACTTAAATTTGAGAGAACTTAAAGAGCTTTACACGTGATTTTCAAGTTCTCATTACCTAATTTGTTTATTTTTTACTAACGCTACCTCCGCTTTTCTATTTTTTACGACTTACTTTGTTATTTACAAGTACAGTTGTAGCTTTACTTCCGTCTCCTATAAAAAATACAAACAGCTTTAGCATGTGATAACCAAATAACCACTTTTGTTACCGTGCTAATAGCACCATTTAAACGACCACTAATATAAAGACACAATTATATCGTGCGTGTTCCAAAGTTGGAAAACCAGACTATCTCTAAATAAATGTGCAGAGAATGATTGCGACATTAACTATATTAGACGGGTGCGATTTCCTATGTCTTTCTTTTCCAAAAACCTTTGATGAGGGAGAGGGTAGTAGGTGGATTTAGTTGTGGGGTGAGGGGGGGTGGGGTGGGGATCAAAGACTATCTCAAATTACGCCACAGCAACACGTGGCCGGGTACAGCTAGTGCCTTATACAAATTCATGATGAAGTTGGAAACATTGACCATTGATATCATGATGCCAAACTGTCCAACATCTTCACTTTTGCATCATACAAATAATTTTTTTCTTTCTGTCTTCACACTTTAGTTTCTTCATTAATTTGGATGCCAGTAACAACACAGCTGGAAAATACCGCCACATTGATGGAAAATGAATTAAATACCACAGAATCGAATAATGGTGTTTCAAATTTAACTATATTTGTTAAAGATGGTTTAAATATCACTACGCTGATTGATGATGGTTCAGATACATCAATATTCACTGAGGATGAGTTTAATACCACAGTATTCACTGATGAGCTGAATACCACAGTATTCAATGAGGAGGAGTTAAATACCACAGTATTCACTCAGGATGAGTTAAATACGACAGTATTCACTGAGGAGTTAAATACCACAGTATTCACTGAGGATGCTTTAAATACCACAGTATTCACTGAGGACAAGTTAAACACCACAGTATTCATGGAGGATGTGTTAAATACGACAGTATTAACTGAGGACAAGTTAACTTCCACATTATTCACTGAGGAAAAGTTAAACACCACAGTATTCTCTGAGGACAAGTCAAACACCACTGTATTCACTGAGGACGAGTCAAACACCACTGTATGGGCTGATCATGGGTCAACCACCAGTTATTCGACAGACATTTTTACTAGCCAGACTGTGATAACTATTGATGGCTCAACAAATACCACTACCACAAAGGAGACAGACTATTTTACTACTCCTGCCAGTTCACTTACATCACAGAGTACGACCATTAAGGTATGTTAGATTATCTCTCTTTTCTTTTTTAATTATCCAGAAATCATGAGTTGTAAACCCTTAGGCTCGGTACTATGGATATCGCAACCCTGATTCCATGATGGATACCATAAATCTGGGCAATACGTGGCTTTTCTGCCTACCCCAGAGCATGAACTCGCACCACAAGGAGTTTGTCACCCGGTCGCCAAGCAGCTGGTTTAACCAACTTAGCTAATGCGCTGGGCAGATTATCTCATCTACTGCTAGATGGTTTAAGAGAAAGAGAGAGATATATATATACACACATATATATATTTATATATATTTATATATATTTATTTATGTATATATGTATGTATATATATATATATATATATATATATATATATATATATATATATATATATATATATATATATATATATATATATATATATATATATATATATATAATAAAGACAGAGATTATGACATGCATTGGCAAGGCAACAGCAGCTTTTAAAAGTATGAATTAAACATGGAACTGTAAATTATATAGTTTTAGAATCAGTTTATATATTTTCAGTTCTAGTGCCTTTCATTTAAAACATATACCAGTGAACGTTGGAGAGCCACTAAATATATAAAACAAAAGTTAATTGAATTCAATTACAAATGCTTGAGAAAAATCAACATAAAATAGGGTAAATTCAAGAGGAGTGAGGAAATAAGAGAAATGTCTGGGCAACCACTAGTATCAACAGTTATCAGAGGAGATGGCACTATATTGGACATATTACGAGAAAATATTAACAGAGAACACTTAACAGGCACACTGAAATTGGAAATAGAGGGACTGAAGAAATGAGGACGTCCAAGAGAAACCCCAAGAGAGGTTAAAGGTGATGGATAAATTCCATCTTTGATATGGAGGTGATTGCACAGGGTAGAACAGAAGGGAGAAATAGACTGTAAGCCTTATGTGGCATCCAGTTATATTTTGTATGGTCCAGGTCGGTCTCCCTGGCCGCCCGACTACCCTGAAAGATATTAGGTCGGTAATCCAGACTGAACGAGTAAACCGCCCGGCAGATTTTTTAAGATGGCTTTGCTGAGTGAGTTTCTCTTGTGACTTGGTGATGACCGATCCCGGACCTCTTGGCCAGACCCAGTGCAGCAAAGCTACACTTTGATCTTAGCCAAAAGGCAGAGAAGCGATGCATGTGGCATCCAATGGTACAATAGAACAACGAATGAATAAGAGAGAAAGAGAGAGAGAGAGAGTGTGTGTTCTTCTTCCCCCCCCCCCCCCCAATGCATAAGAAAGTAAAACCAGCAAAAGACTAATGGAAAATACAAGGTCCGACAATTAAGTAGTGAGACTAATTCCATAAAAAAAAAATAATCATCAGTTGAAGATTTAACCTGTATCTGATTCAAAGTAAGCCCCTTGTACATTTATACAGCAAGTTGCACGATCTAACAAATACTGGAACGACCTTTGTAGTTCTTCTGTTGTTATGGCCCTTAAAGTCGATCTTACGGCCTTTTGGATGTCATCAGTATTGTTAAAGTAGCATCCTTTCAATCGTAACTTTAATTTTGGGAATAGAAAATAATTACAGGGAGAAAATCTGGGGAACAGGGTGGAAGGCTGAGAACATACACTTGCTTTTAGGCCAAAAATGTTTGTTTTGATGATGTCTTTTTTGGTACTAAAACTGCTGATGTTTTTGGTCATCAGACAACGAATGTGGTACAAACCGGCAAGTAACTTTTTTCTTGTCAAAATCTTGCACTAAAATGTTATGAATGGTCTCTCTATTAAAACCAGATTCATCTGCCATCATCCTCACAGTAAAACAATGATCTTCTTGTATCCCTTCTCTGACTTTTGCAACGAGTTGGTCATTACAAACAGAAATTTGGCGTCCAGGTCTAGGTGCATTAGTAATCATTTCCACACACTTTTGAATCGTGAATACCACCTGAAAATTTTTGCGCTAGATAAACAATTATCCCCATAAACTTATTGCATCAATTTAACTGTTTCATTGGCGCTTTTTTCTGAGTTTAAAAAAGAATTTAATGTTAACTTTTTGCTCCGTGCTGATTACGTAACAATGCAACTCTGACTAGGTCAAAAAAATGTTGGCATGTTTGTTGTTTGCGTATTGAGCGGCAATGAAAAGTTGCCAGATCATAGATGAATGTTGCCTCTTTAAATTCCATGCTTTGCTTCATAGATGGCATTTTTGTCTTGGCCATAATAAAATCAGTCTCATTACCTAATTGTCGGACCTTGTACAAATACAAAAGAACCCTATCCAAAGATCCATATTAGGGAGTGGCAGGACCTTGTCATTTGATGATGACCTCTTAGTATATCGACATGGAAGAGATCGTCAAGAGATTGGTGTGCAGATTCTAATGCTCATGTCAACCCTGTGAAGGCCTCAGTAACATGGTTCTCCTTGAACACGCATAGAGTGAAGGCAGACTTACCAGCAGTGGAAAGTAGCGAGGAAATTTCGACGAGAACAAATCTGATGACATACCTTGGAGTGAGGTTTAATCGCAGCCTATCCTTCAAAGAACATGTTGACCATGTCATAACAAAGGCACGCAAAGGCCTGTCAGCAATGAGGGTCCTGGCTACCGCTAACACTGAGCAGAGACTGCTACTGCTTCTGTTCCAGGGACTTGTACTTTCTCTCATCAAATATGCTCTTGCCATCCTCACTGTCAGCAATACTCAGATTGAAAAACTTGAGAAGGTGCAAAATGAAGCAATGCGCATTATTCTAGGCTGCACTGGAGACACCTCTTGTGAAGCAATGAGATACCTTCTTGACTTCCCTACCATGAACTACAGGATCAAGATTTGGAGGGCTCGTGCATACCTCAAAATAAGCTCTGATCTGAAGCACCCTTTGCACCACATGCTCTTCAAGAAAAAGGGCAATAGGCTTAAAAGGGGCAAATCATGGCTGGATAGGGCAGAGGATGACATCATGCAGATTTGCTGCCTTACAGACATCCATCCAGGTGAGGAGTGGATACCAGAGTCTAAAGCGCCCAATATCACATTCTCCTGTGTTGTGACGCTCAATAGGAGTTGTCGGAGCAGAATCCAGCTGCTGTCAATGCCGAGGTATGCCCGCTTATCAGTGACAAGTCAGATGAGACAGATATAGTGATCTTCACAGATGGGTCCGTTATAGGAGGACATAAGAGTGCATGGGCATTTACAGCTTGCTCTTCAGGCAGAACAGTTAAGGAAGCCAACGGTGCCTTCTTCATGACCACCAGCAGCATAACGATGGAGGTGATGGCGGTGACACAGGCTTTCATGTGGCTGGGATCACAGGAATATTCCTGCGTGTGTGTGCTGAGGGATTCTTTGAGTATGATCTGGGGGGTCGAGGCAGGCTGGCTATGCAGACAGTGGCTTGAGTCATTGCAAAATTCTCCTGTGTGTGCAGTTACTTTCATATTCGTCCCATAGTATGCAGGCGTTGTTGGTAATGAGACAGCTGATAGACTGGCAGGCACTGCATTAATTGAGGATGGCCGGCCCATAGATCACACAGACATTGTCATTGCCCTTAGAGAGATAGGACGTTCTGAGAATTTTTGAAGCAACGTGTCCACATCACTGCTAAGAATACGCGAATTGGGAATAAAGATCGGCACAGCCAAGCACGAGAAGCACACTGGACGTACACGAAGTCTTGTTAACCAACATAGGACTGGTACTATTAACCGCACGACGCTGATGAATTAGTTGAGAGGGAAATCTGAGCGCCTATGGATGTGTCCGGAGTGCTGTGAAGATAATCTAACTCATAACTGTGAAATATAACTTTGGCTATTTTGATTAGGGTGACCATAATATCTTGAGCTGAAAACAGATCAAGTGAGGCATTTAACCCCACTCATATTTTTTCCTAGGTCACCAGGCTGAAAGGGTTAATTGCTCACTAGACAATAGTATTTAAACCCGAAGCCATGTCACCAAGAAAGAAAGGAAACAATATATTCTAACTGCGCTGTCAAAAAAACAAAACAAAAAAAAAGAAAGAAAGAAGAGCTACGTTGAAACTAACCTTCAACACATCTCAGGCATTAAAAGTATATATTCGAGTGTACATTATATTCTCAAGCTAATTCCTAGATTTTTGTAATGTGAGACAGCTGGGGTTGTTTGTTTTAGTACTCAATGGGCAGCCAGGATACACCTAACAAACGGTACTGCCCCAGTGAAAACGGGACATATGGTAACCCTAATTATGATTATTTTCATGATTTATATTTCACATCTGCCATCAAATGTCAGAAATATGAGCAGTGCTGGAAATAGTTCTTTCTTTTTTTAAATTAGGTTTTTCAAATGTATCAAAAATTGAGTACTGTGTCTGTTAAAACCAATTAAGAAACCAATTGTCCAATGCAAAGAGTTTCAGCATGAATATTTTGGAAATGTTCTCTAAATCCTTAACTGATATTGAATTATCCTATCACTACTACTTCAGATCTTTCACCTGCCCACTTTGGCTTTGAACCTTTCTACCATCTTCTTGCTTGTATGTGTGGTATCATGTCTGTTTAGGAACCACCAAAGAAATAAATGTTCATAATTTTTGTTAAAATTTGCTCTTTTTTTTTTCAATATAGGTAGACTACTCAGTGGATTGCTCAAAGTATGCTATAGAAAGCACAGCCAAACCAGCAGTTCAGTTAAAAGTTGAACCTTTGTGTACAGAGAGTGGTTCCATTTTGGATCAGCTGACACGATTCATTGGCTATCAGTTTCCGAAACATAAATGTGGGTGAGTGTGAATTGCAGTTTTCACAGTATTTCCTCTGGAAGATGTTCAGTGAGTGATCTACACAAACACTCTCTCTCTCTATGTCCCCCACACACACACACTCACAAGGGAGCTATGGTGACATTTTATTAGCCAACCCAGTAGCTCAAGCAGGGCTATCCAACTGGAGGCTCAGAGACCAAATCCGGCCCAGATAGGCCTAGCAGATGGTCTGTGGATCATTGCCAATTGTATTAAGGATCTTTCTGTGCTGGGGCACCAGCCTCTGATGATCCCCATTTTGGCCCCTCAGTGAGGAGCGGCTGGCTGAATGGTTAGAATGCGGGCTCTCAAGCGGGAGACCTGGGTTAAAAACCTCGGTAAGGCTGGGGATTTTTTTGTGGAGGGCAACAAAAAATACTCACCTGCACAGTCATAGCAAAAGCAGCACTAGCCATGCGACCCTAAATCCTCAGGCTCAAAGGCCCTCCTGCCTACACCGCAAAAGTGGTATAATAAAAGCAGTATTTGGCAGTTTTTTATGTTTTGTTACTTTGTTGGCCCCTCAGTAAACTTAGCTGAATAGCCCTGGGATATAAAGGTTTGAATCCCTATTGAGGCAGATCTTGTGAGTATGTATGTGGGTGTGTGTGTCCTTTTCTCTCCTCTGCCTCTCTCTTATATATATATATATCTCCATCTCTCCTTCACTTTTTCTTTTGCACGCTCCCTTGTTCGTAAGCACACACACACACACTCTCTCTCACTCTCGAATCTTCTTCAGCATTCTGAGTTCTTGACGTTCACTGCTGCAGATATCGCCTGCCACCATTCATCTCTAAGACTGGCTTTTCTTTCCAGTTTGTAGATCTGCCATCACATTCTTTCTTCACCATCTTCTTGGTTTGCCTTGTGGTCTAGTCCCATTCAAATCTCTTGTGTGTGTGCGTATGTATGTGCATGTGTGTGTGTGTGAATATAGATAGATAGATAGATAGATAGATAGATAGATAGATAGATAGATAGATAGATAGATAGATAGATTAGATAGATTAGATAGATTAGATAGATAGATAGATAGATAGATAGATAGATAGATAGATAGATAGATAGATAGATAGATAGATAGATAGATAGATAGATAGATAGATAGATAGATAGATAGATAGATAGATAGATAGATTAGATTAGATAGATTAGATTAGATAGATTAGATTAGATAGATTAGATTAGATAGATTAGATAGATAGATTAGATAGATAAGATAGATAAGATAAGATAGATAAGATAGATAGGATAAGATAGATAAGATAAGATAGATAAGATAAGATAGATAAGATAAGATAGATAAGATAAGATAGCTAAGATAGATAAGATAAGATAGATACGATAAGATAAGATACGATAAGAAAAGATACGATAAGATACGATACGATAAGATACGATAAGATAAGATAATATAGATAAGATAATATAGATAAGATAAGATAGATAAGATAAGATAGATAAGATAAGATAGATAAGATAAGATAGATAAGATAAGATAGATAAGATAAGATAGATAAGATAAGATAGATAAGATAAGATAAGATAGATAAGATAAGATAGATAAGATAAGATAACATAAGATAAGATAGATAGATAGATAAGATAGATAGATAGATAGATAAGATAGATAGATAAGATAGATAGATAAGATAGATAAGATAGATAGATAAGATAGATAGATAAGATAGATAGATAAGATAGATAGATAGATAGATAGATAGATAGATAGATAGATAGATAGATAGATAGATAGATAGATAGATAGATAGATAGATAGATAGATAGATAGATAGATAGATAGATAGATAGATAGGTAGGTAGGTAGGTAGGTAGGTAGGTAGGTAGGTAGGTAGGTAGGTAGGTAGGTAGGTAGGTAGGTAGGTAGGTAGGTAGGTAGGTAGATAGATAGATAGATAGATAGATAGATAGATAGATAGATAGATAGATAGATAGATAGATAGATAGATAGATAGATAGATAGATAGATAGATAGATAGATAGATAGATAGATAGATAGATAGATAGATAGATAGATAGATAGATAGATAGATAGATAGATAGATAGATAGATAGATAGATAGATAGATAGATAGATAGATAGATAGATAGATAGATAGATAGATAGATAGATAGATAGATAGATAGATAGATAGATAGATAGATAGATAGATAGATAGATAGATAGATAGATAGATAGATAGATAGATAGATAGATAGATAGATAGATAGATAGATAGATAGATAGATAGATAGATAGATAGATAGATAGATAGATAGATAGATAGATAGATAGATAGATAGATAGATAGATAGATAGATAGATAGATAGATAGATAGATAGATAGATAGATAGATAGATAGATAGATAGATAGATAGATAGATAGATAGATAGATAGATAGATAGATAGATAGATAGATAGATAGATAGATAGAAAGAAAGAAAGAAAAGTTGGGGAGAGATGGATTCCTCCATAACACAAAGAATTAGAATGTTTTCTATATCCAGCTCCAAAACTCCAGCTGAATACAAATTGTTATATTTACTTCTTGGAGACACTCAGGAGGAAATCACATTCATTGTGCAATGAAGATGATCTCAAAAAATCAAAAATGAACAATGTTCTGTTTATTGAAACTCAGTTTATGTTATTTGTCATTTTCACATTTTAAGAAATCCAAACAGTACAGCCAAGTTTGCAGAGATTTTATACTGCTCTATGCTGAACACTCATACCCTCTGTATGCAACCTTTTGTTGAGGAACTTCAGTATATAAACACAGAGACTGTACCTCAGATAAAAACAGTCAGGAACATTATTGGAGCACTATGTTCTATGGATCGCTGTAAGTAATTTTTCACCACTTATCATTACTGTCATAAAACTATGGTCTTTTGTGAATATTTAAATACTAAATAGAGAGTCGTCTGATGAGTGGTTAGAACACTGAAATGTCATGCAGGAGATGTTGGTTCGAATCAGCAGTAAGGTGATGGATGTTTTTTCTATCAGGGGCAAAAATAAACATCCCAACCAGTTTGTGGCGACTGGCCTAGCCATGCAGTTCTACATCATCAGGCTCAAGACCATCCTGTATCTACATCACCTGACTCTTTAACTTGTATTCACCGGCTTTAAGCTGCCGTCTAAAGTTCTGGCTGTTCATCCAATTCTGGACTTTGGAATTGTTACAGAACCTTGAGTTTTGTGTGCACTTCTGTTTTACAGACCTGGCTTACTTGTGTACAGACTGTACCACTCTACAAAAGTGGTAGTATAGGCAGCAAAGACAGTACTGTAAATGCATCAGCATCATGTGGTTGCTTGAGTCTGCGTAATAATCAAGACAAATATCACTGCTGAATAAGCATTGTAAAGAAGTCACATTCTTCCTATTAAAAAGATGTTTTTATAAAGAAAACCTGGTACTCCTGTCAAATCCGGACGAAGAATAAAAAGCCTTGGACGACTTAGTCAGAGTTCTCTCCCTTGGCCGCACTGCAAACAGTGATCGGAAAAGCCAACGAAACAAACGACACATGCAACATGGCAGTTAGACGCACTCACATAACTAACATCGTTCTTCCGACGCACGACTTAGTTGCCGGGAACGACTATCGTGACTGACGCTTGGCGAGGCTAAAGCAACGTGGCACACTTACGGCATGGCATCTATCTGCACGAGGTAGTAGTCCACCAGACCAACTTCGTCGACGCCGTACACAGTCACATACACACACAAACAATTGAGGGCCTCTGGATGCTGGTCAAACACACAATTCGCCAACGATTGGGCACCAGCCGCACACTATTGGCGTCATATTTAGCAGAATTTCAGTGGCGCCACGCCCACAAACATCAGATTGTCGGCCAGTATTTCGAAACCCTACGTCAAAATTTTCACATCTAACCCCAACCCTAACCCTAACCCTACCCCTAACCCTAACCCTTCCTCTACCCCTAACCCTAACCCTACCCCTAACTCTAACCCAACAACCGCATGATGACTACACAACCATTCACGATGCCTCACGCACCCGTACGCAACCCTGCACGCAACCATATGACCACGCATCCCTTCACGATGCCTCACGCAACCGTACGCAGCCCTACACGCAACCGTATGATGATAGGTAAGTGTGTCGTTTGTTTCGTTGGCTTTTCCGATCACTGTTTGCAGTGCGGCCAAGGGAGAGAACTCTGACTAAGTCGTCCAAGGCTTTTTATTCTTCGTCCGGATTCGACAGGAGAGCCGAATTCTCTACATACCAAGGTAGAAGAGGAGCGTCTTAGTTCTATAAAGAAGCGTCTCCTTTATTTTCCTGGGTCTCTCTCTTGTACTTGCTTCCACTCGTACTCATTTGACCTAGATTGTTATCTAAGGGCCACTAATGTAGAATAGACAAGGCAAACTATCTTCCATCAACGATCACACTACTCCAAATGAGAGTCAGCATTGACAATGACCAGTTTCAGGTTTATTCCATCAAATATACAACAAGAATCAATACGACAATCTAACTTGCACTCTCCAGTCAAGAATCAGTTGTTCTCACGTTTGGGCACACAGCCACGCCACATTTGTCAGTACCAGTCACAGTTAATCGGACAATGCCATTGTCCTCAGATATTATTCGGTATCGATTTACCACAGGTACTTTGCAGCCATACAGAAATCAAGTTCCACTTCATTTCAAGTCAAACACAATTTCATTCCGAACACTCTAATTCCACTGACCACCTCATTCGCAATCCCCTAGATCTCACATTCACACGAGAATTGCTCAATTCAGTCTTTTCACCATCTCCTGTGAAACTCATGCTTCTCATACAAGGTACTTTCCCAGTTCTGTCAATCAGCCTAATGACCCATGATTTTCACTCTCTGGACTTCCCTAATTCTGCCACTCAGTCATACCCTGGCATTATCTCTGTTTATAGCATCATTACAAGCATCAACTGTTAGTGTGTCATTATCTTTTTTTTTTTTTTAACTCCTTAACAGTCATAGCCAAAGATTGCCTGTTCAAGCGACTCAAATATGTGACCAGATGTGTCAAAGCAGAAGTTGACTCAATTCTTAGTTTCCAAAACAAAAGATGGGCATATGGAGTTATTGATCAATGCAGGTACTTTTACAAGAATAGTCTTCATTATGTTTGTTTGTTTGTTTGTTTGAGCCTAAGTTAATTCAAGCTGTTCATTCTTGTATGACTACACCATCCATCTAGTGTCAGTGGCACAGCACCATATGCTCAGTACAGCTTAAGGCATTTTTTACATACTACAAATGTTTTGTGTGGACATTGGTTTTGGCACCTTTTAGTCTATTCAGACAATAATGTTATATTGCACTAAAAAGAGGGATCGGAATCACAGACCATGGTGCCCCACAGCACAAGACCTAGGCATTAGTGTAAAGAACTAGAGACCATGTCTTGCCCATGCATCATGACACCTCCCTGGGCCTGCCTTGTTTACTCTAAAGGAAAGGTAACACCAATACATTTGGAACATAACCTGCTGCAGAAGCTACTGGAGTGGAAGTAGAACAGTACTATGTTTTTTCACATATCAGAGCTTCCCTTCTAGACCAGCTGTCAACCAAGGCTAAGGGCCTGGTATGTCGTGCCATCAGCCAAGGCTAAGGACCTGGTCTGTCCTGCCATCACCCAAGGTTAAGGACCTGGTCTGTCCTGCCATCACCCAAGGCTAAGGACCTGGTCTGTCCTGCCATCACCCAAGGCTAAGGACCTGGTCTGTCCTGTCTTCACCCAAGGCTAAGGTGCTGGTCTGTCCTGCCATTACCCAAGGCTAAGGACCTGGCCTGTCCTGCCTTCACCCAAGGCTAAGGTGCTGGTCTGTCCTGCCATCACCCAAGGCTAAGGACCTGGTCTGTTCTGCCTTCACCCAAGGCTAAGGACCTGGTCTGTCCTGCCATCACCCAAGGTTAAGGACCTGATCTGTCCTGTCTTCACCCAAGGCTAAGGACCTGGTCTGTCCTGCCATCACCCAAGGCTAAGGACCTGGTCTGTTCTGCCTTCACCCAAGGCTTAGGACCTGGTCTGTCCTGCCATCACCCAAGGCTAAGGACCTGGTCTGTCCTGCCATCACCCAAGGCTAAGGACCTGGTCTGTTCTGCCTTCACCCAAGGCTTAGGACCTGGTCTGTCCTGCCATCACCCAAGGCTAAGGACCTGGTCTGTCCTGCCATCACCCAAGGCTAAGGACCTGGTCTGTTCTGCCTTCACCCAAGGCTAAGGACCTTGACTGTCCTGCCTTCACCCAAGGCTAAGGACCTGGTTTGTCCTGCCACAGCGTGAAGTTTTCAAGTTCCATTTCTTATTCCTAGGATAAGATTAGTATCCTACTCCAATGCACTCCTCTGCCTAAAGCTATTGGCACAATGTGAGATGTCAGGTCTGATATACGCCACCTCCATGTAAGGGTTCCAGGGCCCATTGTGGGAGTTTAAACATAAAGAATAGACACACTGCCTCCCTGACAAGTTAGTCATAAGAGTTGACTAGTTAGGGGTTTCCTTTGAAGTTGGAGTGCATCTGTCTGAGAGGCAAGGAACCAACAGTTTGCACACAAATAAGCCACGACTGTAAAATAGATTTATATGCAAAATTCAAGTTCTGGAACAAGAGTAAGGTCCAGAGGTAGACGGACAACCAGAACTTTTCACCAGAGTTTACAGCTGGTGAACAAAAAAGAAGAAGTTTACGCAACCTAACATTCAATGTGAAAATAAACCTTATGCTTATGTATCTCTTTCTGCAGACATCTTGAACTGAAAGTCATGTGTATGTGGGAGAATGTACTGCCATGCAATGTAAGAACTGCTGCTTCAATGGCTGGCTTGATTGGTCAGCATCTCAGACCAGACACCTGCACACTATCTGCATCACAGCCTATCCTCTCAATGAACTGGTTTCAACTTACAGCCATTTCCTGTGCTCAAGTGTTATTATTTGTAATGGGCAATACATGATGTACACCAGAGTTGCTTGACATCAAAATGTTCTACCATTTTGGTCTGAATGATCATTTAAGCAATATCTTTCAATAAAACCAACATATCTGTTGACTCTTTCTAAACAACGAATACCAGCTTTGAAAATTATGATCATGACACTTCTTAACTCAGTATAAGTTAACTGAAGAAAAAGCATTTTTCATATTCAGAAAATTGAGTGTTTATAGCAATGCATAACAGTTATTAAATGTCTAATTATCATATATATATATATATATATATATATATATATATATATATATATATATATATATATATATATATATATATATATAATATATATATAATATATATATAATATATATATATATATATATATATATAATTTATGGTCATCAGAATAAGCATGGGAATTGAAAATATAACATCAGAAGTGCATTTTGTGTTTCTCTCCCTTATTTGACAAATATGTTAAGATAACTCTGCACTAGTCTACAGACTATTTCACAGAATAATATTAACTCTTTCGGTACTAGGGGATAGTTGATTTAGTTACAAATGAACACATGATGTGTTTCTTGGTACCCAAAGAGTTAAGATAAAAAGTTAACATGTCTTGTTTCTAGCAAATATATGAATGTTAATCAGGCATTAGCCTGTTACCGATGGCACTCCTGTTGACCTATCCAGTCTTGATAGAGATGATGAAAGTAAGTTTATGAACCTAGGTAGTCAGGTACAAATGGTGAACATAAGCTAATAAAGCACATGCCTGTGCACACACATGCTTGTATGCATGTGCGCGGGCACACACACGCAATCAAACTTTAATAAATGTAGTATAAACGAACATGGCACAACTTGACAAGTGACAACTGACCTATGTTATCAGAATGCCAAAGAGTGACTTACAGAAACACAGTTATCACAGAAAAGACTGGCATTAAAAGCGGCAACATTGTTTTTTAATTCATTGGTTTCACTTTGGTTTTGACCCAGAAATTAATATTAGGCACCTTCTTTGCAACAGCATCGTATATGTCAACCCTGAGAGAAACATCTGTACACCATAACAAAAACACAGCAAATCAGAAATAAAATGTGCTAATACTTATCATTATTGATTGCATTACTGTCAAATAACTATATATACATGTGGCAGATGTTCCTGATTCAAAATTACACCCCAAAAAAAAAATGCAACATATCACTGATTCAAAAGGAGATAAACACAAGCAATACAGTGTAGATCTGATAAGGAAAACTCAACTAACTGGGGCCCAAAAAATATTTTTTTTTAAAGAAATTCATCCTGTCCAGATAATGCTTTTGCAACGTACAATACAGTAATGAATTAGTGTTTATTTCAACAGATGTATGGCACAGATAATATGTTAATTACTAAAGGCGTTAATGTACAAACTTGGCAGAAATATCTAGACAGCATTATTTACAGTCTGAAATTATAAAGCTGTAATTTTTAACAACTCCTGTGTCCACAACTGGGTAGTCATTTTAATAACAGAATGTTTTCCCCCACACACAAAACTTTGTAAGTAATGTTGCCCCGTTTTACAAAATGGCCCAACCAGCCAGGATCACACTTCCAGCCAGTTCGACCTCGTCTTTTTTGCCTTTACAGTTAATTCTTTCATTCGCTGCTCTGGTACGCCACATAGTTTTTTTGCCTTTGCAGTTAATTCTTTCATTCACTGCCCTGGTATGCCACATAGTGCTCACAGTCTTTTTCTCAATTCCGTTCTATCCTATGGAATCACCTCAGTATCATAGATGAAATTCAGTCCAGCATCTTTGGCCTCTCTCTCATCAACATTCTCTTGGATTTCCAAATTTTTTTGTTTACAGTTAATATAGGTCTATTTACAGGAACATTTGCTTACCAGACAAGAAAATACTGACGCTGCTGATGTGGCATATTACGGACGAAACCACTCTACAATTGAATCAACTCATTAGGGAGCTGGAGGATCTGAACTACTTTAACCCAGAATTGCCAGAGGATGATGTACCATGGTCATCACCAGAAGAATGATCCGACCGCCAAAACTTGAAGTTAAACGAGGTCGATACCGTCACCACAAACATTATTGCCAGAGACGACACCACCAACGCCAAAACTACCTAAACCCTATGTAGGAGAAGCACTCTACAACAAGGACACAAGAAGACCACCGAAATTACAACAGACCCCACCATTTTTTCTTTTATTACCTGCCCAAAGCAAGCAACCGCCAGTCCTTAGGATAGGCAGTCCCCTCTCCTCGGTAACAGCAAATGGCCAATGAAATCCACACAAAATCAACTCAACAGCCAATGATACGGAACACAGCAGAAGGCCAGCCAGTTATAAAAGCAGACAATCGAGCGGGAAAACCACAACAAATATCAAGCCACAAACACTGAAAGCACAATCCAAAACCAGATGAGATGAAGACCAGAAACATCACCACATATATAGCAGAGAGGAAAGAGAGCAGCAATGCAATCTGACCTAGTCTGATGGAATATTTGCTAATCTCATCATGGTGAACCCTTATTTTAGGAGTACCTTGTCAACCACATCACACACCGCTTTTCAGTTCTTCATTCTGTGACAATCAACTTGTCTGCCATAAAATATTTTTCTGTACAGATCCTTATTTTCTGTGATTCCTGAAAGTGTTGATTTTGGAATGTCAAATTCCTTTGCTATTTTTGTTTCATTTTTATCACTGTTTTCCACTTCTTGGTAATAGCTAAGGATTTCTTTTCAAATATATAGATTTCAATCTCCAGCATTTTTAGAGGGGAATAACACAAATTCTAACACAGATAAAACCCACAATTCCAGAAAATTGTACAAATGTCCAGGTATTAGAAAGAAAAAACAAGAGTTTGACTTAAGCAGATCCAATTATATAGGTGGGACACGTTTAATAATTTGGCAAATCCGAAAATTCATGATAAACATATTCCACTCAGGGGAATAATAGGAGTAGAGATAAAAGTATCCACTTTATAAATGCTTATTTAGAAACAATTTACTCAGTATTTATATATATATATATATATATATATATATATATATATATATTATATATATATATATATATATATATATATATGTATGTATGTATATATTTATATATATAAACACAGGCACGCATGCATGCGTGCGCACACACACACATGTATAAACACACATACAATATAGTTAAATAAATTCAATGTTTATCTTGTTACCATATATTTGAGGATTATTTTTAGGTGAAGTGCTGTTAAGCTTCTAATTTTCAAACTAGACATTTTTTTTAAATAGTTTTTTCCCCTGCAGGATACTGTATAATCGTTCAGAAAGCAATGACAAACTAATGAACGTAAACTGCCTTGTGAAATCACAGCCCCCCCCCAAATGCTGGGGTTGGTACTGCAACATCATGTAATGGATATCAACTAACTTAATTTGTTTAAATAAAAATGAGTACCTGGAAATTCTTTGGGACATGAAAGTAGCCAATTTGACAGGGACCATATAACCCACTGGGTGCCAATCAGTATATAAAATATATGAGGTAAACACCATATATACAGTATACCGCAAGGTATAAAATTAAAGGACCGTTTTCCACGTCTTCAGTCATATTGGGCATATAGGGCTAGACCTGTACTAAATGTGAATGTTGAATTAAGAATGGACATCAAAGCACTGGGGACACCTCCATAAGCACTCCATCCCCATCTTCAGCAAAGAGTTCAAATTTTGATGGCACCAGTAACAGTCTGATTGTATATCCGTCTCTCCTTTCCCTTGAGTGCTGAGTCTCAGCCAGATCCCCCGGTAACTACTCACAGCACCGGTCTCCTTAGGCCATAATAATCTTGTTGTGCCAGTGGACTGTTTACTCGCTCCCAAACAGTCCTAAAAACATCTAGCATGTCAAACATCAGTTCACCGCTAAGTGGTGCAGAACCGGCTAGCCTATCTGCCTGCTCATTTTCCAACACACCAGCATGACCTTGAGAAAATATCTAAAGGACGCTAACTAGCCTAGACCTCTGAAGCAATGCTTGCCACTCTGCATGGAGCATGCCTGTCTGAACCTTTCTCAACATACTCTGTGTGTCAGTTGCAATTATAACATGTGTATACAGCTGATTCTCAAGCCAGAGGAAGGGAGTGACTGCCTTCACCTCTATTCTCAAACTAAGCGATGTCCATTTACTTTTGCTTTGAATCCCCATGCACTTCATCTTCCTCTCAACACAGAGCCATTTGTGATGATAGTCACACCATCTGGGCGGGAATTGTCATGAATCATTTGTTGAACCTCTGATTCTGCAGCACTAGCTGGTCAGTCCTTGCACTCACGACCTAAAGTAATCAGAACCCTACACAAATCTGATTCTTGCTTGGACACTTTGACCCATTCCTCTCCTTTGCTCAAATTTCTCAAGCCTGCACTCATTTCTATACTATAGACATAGATTATCTTCTTTATTTTCACAACACAACACAAATCTTGAGAATCACCCTTGTAAGGGTGAAAAGAGGAGACGCTAATAACTATATATGAACAAAATATCCATCCAGGTTTTTAAACAACTATTTTCTTGTTGAAATACTGACATGTAGATTTTTTCACCTCTACATTATGAGCATATTATTTTTTTAATTTTTAGATTAGATCATTCACAGCCAAATTTACAATATGTTTTGTAAAACTGATTCATGCAGCATTTTAGGAATTGTATTATGACGTGTGTTGTCATCATCATCATCATTGCCATCGTCACTTTCATCATCGCTAATGCTACCCATTTCTTCCTTTTCTGGTGCAGAACTTGAAAGAACTCTGTCATCTTTGAGATACCTAATGAAAATAATTAGCATGTGGATATTATGATTTTCCAGTTTATAAAAAGTATTAAACTGTAATGGTGTCTACTTCCCAGTCAGTAATTTAATTGTAGATGTATGTTTTTTGATAAACTGTCAGTGACTCAAATCTGTCAAT